CATTCCTATAACGTTATTAACGAAAAAAAGAAAAAGACAAACTCTATATAATAATATTGATACCTTTCATAATTTATTTTTGTGCCCAATTCTTATAATCTCTTCATCTTCGTCGAATTTAGAGAGAAAAAGGAATGAATTCAAAAGTTCCACAAATTGATAAAAACTATTTAACTTTAAATAAACTAGATGAAAATCGTGTTTATAGTCGTACTATCGTACGTGTCATTCGAAAGTGGGAAATTAGAAATCTTAAAGCAATCAATATTCTCATGGAGGTGGAACTTCTATTGCTTGATGAAAAGGTAAGTATCTTATTAAATTTTGTTAATATGTATAGTATCTTATTAATTTTTGATGATATTATTTATTAAATAGCTTTATATTAATTTTTTTTTAAATAGGAAATACAATACAATGCTTTGTCCATCATTCTATGGTTCACAAATTTGGAAATCAACTATGCGAAGGAAATACCATTGAGATTTGCAATTTCAATGTCCAATCAACTAACAAGAAGAAATATAAATTTTCTAGCCATCCGTTTTTCATAAACTTATCAGAAAGAACAAGGGTTACAAGTGTACAAATTTCTTTAGAAAAATTTCGTATAGTCCTTTCAACGATTTGGTCAACCTTCTAGATAAGACCGATGACTTATATGGTATGTTTTTTTTTTAAACTAATTTATATCTTATATTTACTTTCTACAAAAACAGAGCTTAAACCAAATATACTTTTTCTATTTGTACAAATACAATCGGATACATTCTCAAAGTGGAAAAAGGTGACGTTCGTAGTAAAACCACTCCAACAACAATGGTTAGGAAGGTTGACTTGATCCTTTTACTAGAGACGTAAGAGCATCATTATCCCTGAACTTTTAAGAGTTTCATCTAATTAAAATGAATTAAAATTAATTCAAAAATTCATTATTTGGTGAAAAATACTTGAGACGGATCAATGCAGAAAGACAGATGAAACGTTTCATCTTGCCACGTGGCGAACAACAATTGGATCCTTTTTTTATTATTCTCTCTCTTTCCTTCCTTCTTCTTCTCCGATTTCCCTGAAAATTATCAAACAACATCGATTTCGAAAACATGAAATCAGAGAAATCAAACACGAATCCATCGACCCAAGCTCATCAGAGCAATGAGTTCCACATCGGAGGCTGACGTTGTGTCCTGAGGATCGTGACGCTATCGCTCGACCCCAAAAGACACAAAGGCCGAGCTGGTTAGAAAGCTGCTACTGGGTTTTGTGTTTCTCCTCCTCTACGTTTCTCAATTGTGTCATCGGTCAAGAGAAGGAAGAAATTGAGATCTGGGTCTCATGGTTAAAGTAGAAATTTTTTTGTGAATCTAAAACATTAATTTATATTAAATTTAATATTAAACAATAGGTTAAGAACTCTTTAAGAGTTCAGGGATAATGATGCTCTAAGCTTTCGTAACATCCAAGTGACTTATTTATTAAATAATATAACACAAATTATTCTGTATTTTAATATTTTTCTTTGATAATTTATTTTTGAGACAACCAGACCCGTATTTTTTTTAAACAATTAACATTGGACTCGAATTAGCATTCTCATAAATACTAACTC